TAGAAAAAGATTATCTCCTAATATTCTCTTTATGAGAAAGCAGTACAATTAAACTCAAGTAATATACTTTTTTCACTTGTTTCATCATCATCATCATCGCCATCATCTTCAACTAAACAATCTCTTTTTCAATTTAATTTAATGAGAATGGATCTTTGCAGCCACTGAGACCAAAATGCTTGCATATTAAGGAGATCATTTCCTTTAACCTAAGTCACACCCCTTTGCACACAATAAGGATGAAAGAAGAACTGAGTGTTTATGTGGGTGGAAAGAAAAGGGTGCAGACAGGACTGTGTAGGACACTTGGGGACCAAAGCTGGAAAGGACCTCAAAATTTGTTGGATGTAAGATTAGTTTGAGGCAAAAGAAAAGGCCAGAAGGAATGCCTTTATAGACCCCTAAAGCAGGGCAATTTTTGGCAACAGTTACAGTACATCTACAAGCCGTTGTGTTGTCCTGGTTAGTGTGTTTTCTATCCTAAACCTTCCACTCCCCACATTGTGAGTTTAAGCCAGAGTTATTCTTAGATGCCCCTTCCTGGCGGAGAGTGAGGATGTCTCAGAGTTGCTATGCATCTCTGGCAAATCTATGGAAAAAAGCAGGCATGCATTGCCTTTGATCATCAGGTCTTAGGATGGATTAGAAAGAAAGAGACTATAAGGAAAAAGGTCACCAATTCTCCAAGAGTGAAAAGGTGGCGATGGAGTCGACTAAATCTAACAGTTAGGCAATTGAAAAGCCCATAAGAGGATGCTGTAGGAAGAAGCAAAACTGTTGGATGTGCAAGATGAAAAGACAGGAAGCATGTTTTTGAGGAGTTTGGAATAGCTAATTTTCAGAACTTACTGATAATCCAGGGAATGAGGAAAATCCCAGAGAGCAGTGTCTGAGGATCCATGATGCTCAGTGTCAGGCAGGTTAGGGTGTGTGTTTGTGTGTTACCTGCAGAGGCTTTCTTTAGGGAAGTATAGTGCCTTGCAGACAACCTTTTCCATAGAATTAAAGGTGCTGTCCATGTGTTGTTGAAACCTGGGATTAGCACAGGGGTAGCAGGGATCAGACTTGGTTGAGGATGTGCTGATAGGACAGTGAATGTCATTTCATATATGACTAGAGGTCTGGTGCACAGATTCGTGTACCAGTGGGGTCCTGTGGCCTGGCCTGCACCCTCTTGCAATCCGGGACCCCTGGGGGGATATTGGAGAGCTGGTTTCAGCCCGATCCCCACAGGCCAGGCCAAGGGACCCCAACAAATCTGTGCACCAGGCCTCTAGTATGAATATAAGATCTTTGGTTAATCTCTTCGCACGCTCTCCCTCCCCACTTCCCTCTGAGATTCATCAGTCTGTTCCATGTTTCCATGCCTTTGGTTTCCGCTCCTGCATTGAGCGTCTGCCCCCTGGTGGTCAGTGCACATCATAGCTACTGGCCAGTCGGCCGGTCAGCTGGTCACTTAGGCTTTTATATAGAGAGATGAGCTCTGCAAGGCAAGAGGGAGAGTGAGGATTTCAGGAACCCTTACTAATAAAGTAGAAGCTTTTACAACATGTACTCCTATTAACACTCTTTATAATGCTTCCTACTTTTCTTATGTTACCTCATTTGATTCTCAGTTATCCTGTGAATTAGATACTGTTATCTACTTAAATAAGGCCAACATGAGGCACTGGTAGAAATTGGAGGACAGGAACAGGGAGAAACTAAGGTGTTTTCTCCCCCACTCTGTAGTTAGATTCTTGTTTTGTTGTTGTTTTGTTTTGTTGTTGTTAATTCTCCCTGGATGGTTTTTTTCCCATTGATTTTAGAGAGAGTGGAAGGGATGGAAGGAAGAGGGAGAGAGAGAGAAACATCGATGTGAGAGAGACACGTTGATTGGTTGCCTCCCACATGCATCCCATCCAGCAACTGGAATTGAACCTGCAACCCACGTATGTGCCCTTGACTGGGAATAAAACCTTTGGTGCGCAGGCTGACACTCTAACCATAGCCCCAGCCCAATACTGGTTAGGGCTGCAGTTAGAGTCTTAATAGTTAGTGTACATTACCAGTTACATAAATCTGAAGTAAGATCTCATACTTCATTAGAATGAGGGTAATTTTATATGAAACCTGTTATTAAAAGCCCTTGCATAGGCCCTTTCATCCAGAAAACATTCATATTTGGAAAGATTCCAAGTCTGGCATGGTACCACACTGGAAACAGTGCCTTCCTATGTCTCATTTAATTCTACTGAGCTTTCATAGGATGTTCAAATGTCCTTGGAATTTTTCTTATGGTTCTTTTAAGGATCACAAAAAGAACATGCTGGCCGCAAATATGTTCACTGCATAAGGAAAATCTGAGGGAGAAAACATAAAGTTAGAGAGAGGAGAAAAACCACATGTCATGCTATGTTTTCACAGCTACTTTTCTATTTAGAAATAACATTTCTAGTGCTTCCTTTTTGGAAACTACAAAGAGCACACAAGCAGACATGAAGGAGACCTCTTTCCAGTGTCAGAGGTACCTGTACATCTGATCCAACCAAATGAGTGTGAACTTGGATATGTAAGTGAGCCCAGTGGGGTGCAGGTGGAATGGACGTCTATGTTGGAATTATTGGGGGAGGGTGTATATGACAGATAAGCTGGAGCTCAGAAATATAATTGTTTAACTGGAAGTATTGTCACCCCTAATACTTTTGGAGGTTTTTTTTATGAAAAGAAGGAGAAATAGATATTGGGTGGGCGGCTAGCAGTTATTCTCATTATAGTACAAGCAGATACAACAAAAATTATGGTACATTAACTACTAGATTTCGGAAAAACTACTCTGCAGTAGTAAAATGTCCAGGGATATAACATTAGCAAGACATGAGGAGGGGAAAATCCCCAAGCAGAGCCTGTCTTAGGGTTAGGTTTACTTGGGCAGATACACCTTTATTCAGCTCAGCTCATTCCAACAGCAAACATTTATCATAGTATTGCAAACACTGAGTAAATGGTTAAAAAAATAAAGGGCTATGATGCAGTGTCAGAATGAGTTATGTGGGCCAGGGGATCCCAAAGCAGGCTGTGCATCAGTCTCCAGAAGTTACAAAAATAGAGATCAGTAGTCTCAGTCCCTAGATGTCAGAATTCAGTGGATTGGGGATTCAAGAATCTGGTGTGTGTGTGTGTGTGTGTGTGTGTGTGTGTGTGTGTGTGTATTTCATTGATTTTTAGAGAGAGGGGTAAGGTGGGGAGGAGGGAGGGAGGGAGAGAGAGAGAGAGAGTGAGAGAGAGAGAAATGGATGTGAGAGAGAAACTTGAATCATTTGCCTCCCACACGCACCCTGACTGGGTCTGGGCATTGAACCCACAATCTAGGCATGTGCCCTGACCTGGAATTGAACCTGGGACCTTTTTGGTGTACGGGACAATGCTCCAAGCAACTGAGCCACACTGGCCAAGGCCAAGACTGTGTTTTTAATTAGTGCCCCATTGATACTGAGGCAGGAAATCCAAGAGGGTTCATCTTTGAAAATCACTGGTAGAAAACGAGGGCTGTGTATATTCTGAGTGTGTTGACGGCTACTAACACTTACTGCAGATATTCTCAAATAGTATGCACGAGACTTACCCAGGGCCCTTGCTAGACATGCAGATTCCTGGTGCCATCTCCAGCACTTTTGCATGCATGGATTCTAGGAGTGAAAGACATCTGAATTTGTAACTAGCAGCCCAGCTGATTCTGAAGCAGACCAAATTGCAAAAATCTGTGATATGCAGATCAAACTTTGAGAAAGACTGATTTTTAAGAACTTACTCTTTGCCAGGCATTGTGCTACAATCTGTTTATGCACATTGTCTGATTCCATCTTCCTGATAGTCACAGGAGAGAGACTTTTATCGCCCCCATTATACAGATAGGAAAGGGAAGCATGGAGGAGATAAGTAATTTATTCAAGATCATACTGTGAATAGCTGAGCTGTAGACTTGCAGACTACAACTGTCTGACAAGATTTATGGAAGGCATTTGAACTAAAGTAAGATAAGTGGATTTTGGAATTTGTCACTTGGTACTTTGATGCACAAATTTTGAGATTTCTCTAAAATGAATTCTATTTTGCCTGGCCAGTGTAGCTCAGTGGTTGAGCATTGACCTATGAACCAGGAGGACAAATGGTTCAATTCCTGGTCAGGGTATAAGCCTGGGTTGCAGGCTTGATCCCAGGTGTGGGGCGTGCAGGAGGCAGCCAATCAATGATTCTCATCATTGATGTTTCTATCTCTCGCTCCCTCTCCCTTCCTCTCTAAAATCAATAGAAACATATTTTAAAAATAAATAAATAAAATGAATTCTATTTTTGCTTTTTAGCTAAAGAACTTGAATAGATCCAACTGAAAGCAATCATGTTATTTCACATAAAATAAATAAATAAAATGAATTCTATTTTTGCTTTTTGTTTTTTAGCTATAGAACTTGAATAGATCCAACTGAAAGCAAACATGTTGATATTTCACACAGTAAATAGTATTACGATGTCTCACATAACTGAACAGCTGGTAGACAAGGCCATGGCTCCGAAAATGCTGATGTGGGGTTGAGGCTGGACTCTCCAACAACTTCTTCCTTCAAAGAACTCTTGGCTTTCTCCTCTGAAAAGTAAATAAAATGAGAAATCAACAAGGAAACCGCAGATACACCCAGTGAAAACAAAAATAGAGGACATGAAGCAGAGACCTTTTTTAAAGAACTTGCTCCCTTTGCATTTAGTGATAATGTCAATCTTTCAAAAGATAACTGTTTACAAAATTATGAACTTCTGCTGCATATCAGCATCCCATTAAAGGGCGTTAGAGGAGTAAAGCCTGTAAGTCACAGATAACTTGTTTACCAAACTGGGACTGTAATTGAAATGGCCCTTTGGAGTTAATAAAAGTATGAAATAGCTTTTCCCACCAGACTGAGAGGCGTCTAATGTAATCATTCGTGAGTGTCACCGATTAGAAGCAGCCTTTCTCCTATTTTTAGAAGCTGAATATGGACAACTCCTACCTCGTGACGGGAACAGGAAGTTGGAGCCATGGGTGCGTGAAGAGTGTCCACGAGGGAGCACATAGGTCGCAGGCCTCTGGGCCCTTTAAGCAACACCAGTTAGATAAGTTAACAGTGTTTATTGGAGACCTAAGGCACCTAGATATGACTTAGGTCCTTCATAGTTCTGTCAGAATCCCCTGAGCACCCTCGATCCCAGGCATTGTGCAGGTACTGGGCATAACTGGATAAAATACGGAACCATGAATGTAGGAAGGACTGTGCACTGTTTGCCTTTAGGATGCATGTCCCAAATTGCAAATTCTTTGTTGTTCCCAAATAAACCCATTTTGATGGAGAAATATCTGGCTGTCTATTTGTCTAAGGTCAACAGAAGAAATAAGTAAGGGGGTGGGAATGGGTAACATGTTAGGGGGAGAGGATTATTATGGAGACTTTGTCATTTGTAAGAGCTGTTTCAAGAACATTGAGAGTCCCTACGTCTTAAAGCCACCGAACATGAATTTTCTCCAATAAACTTCAGTTTTCCAAGAAAAATCACTAACCTACATCTTTTTCTGACCCTTCACTTGTATCACCTGCTCTAGATGTCCACTTTCTTTGGTATCCACTTTTCATATAGGGACAAAAATGGTATTCCTTCAAGGGAGCCACTAGCTAGGCTACTATGAGTCACACACACACACACACACACACACACACACACACACACGCATACACACAGAGTTTTGAGCAATTTATGTCACACTTGCACTTCAGCAGAATGTTGGGGCCTTTGAGATACTAGGGACTCCTCCAAGCCCTGCATGTTAGACCTGTGACTGCCTCTGCGGCCCCTGAGTTTGCGTGTGCTGTGTATTTGTCAAGAGGGTAGGTGCTCATTATTTCACAGCATTCTGGCAGTCGGCGGGCCATGCCTGTCTGGCAGGTGTCTTTTCCTTGGTTCCCATATTGTTTACTTTTTAAATTTTTCATGATAGAAAGATTGACATAAAAGAAAAGAAAAAACATGAATGAACCTCCAGTTTTAATAATTGTCCATATTTTGTCCATCTTGTTTTCTCCATCTACCATATTTGGGTGAAGGGGTGGGTGGGAGAGAGCATGCTGGAGATTTTAAGAGAAAATGCCAAACTTCAAATTACTTCACTCCCTACATTATTTTTAAACTCATATCAGATGCCAACTGAGGCAGGTAGAGGAATGAATGCCCCTTCCTCCAAAGATGCCCATGCCCCAGTCCTCAGAAAGTGTGGATATGTTGCCTTACACGATAAAAGGAACTTCCCAGTTGTAATCAAGTTAAGCATCTTGAGATGGTGAAGTTACCTGGTTATCTGGGTGGGCCCAGTTTAATCACATGGGTCTTAATAATAGGGAGGCAGGAGGATCGGAGTCAAGAGTAGGTGATGAAGTGACAGAAACAGCGGGAGAAAGGCAATGTGATGTGGGGCCATGAGCTAAGGAATAAATGCAGGCAGCTTCTAGAAGCCAGAAAAGTCAAGGAAATGGATGCTCCCCTATAGCCCCCAAAAGGAAGAAGCCCTCCCAACACCTTGATTTGAGGACTTCTGACCTCCAGACTGTAAGGGAATAAACACCACTATATTTGTGGGGATTTCTTAGAGCAGTGATGGCGAACCTTTTGAGCTCGGCGTGTCAGCATTTTGAAAAACCCTAACTTAACTCTGGTGCCGTGTCACATATAGAAATTTTTTGATATTTGCAACCATAGTAAAACAAAGACTTATATTTTTGATATTTATTTTATATATTTAAATGCCATTTAACAAAGAAAAATCAACCAAAAAAATGAGTTCACGTGTCACCTCTGACATGTGTGTCATAGGTTCACCATCACTGTCTTAGAGCATCAATAGGAAACTAATACACTAACTTTTAAAAATAGGGGAATTGCCCTGGTTGGGGTGCTCAGTTGATTGGAGCATTATCCTATACACCAAAAAGTTGCAGGTTTGATTCCTGGTGAAGGCACATACCTAGGTTGTGGGTTCAGTCCTAGTCAGGGTGAGTATAGGAGGCAACTGATCGATATTTCTTTCTTTCTCTCTCTCCCTTCCTCTCTAAAAATCAACAAAAACTTATCCTGGATTGAGGATGAAAATAAATAAATAAATAATGGGAGGAATTCACATTAAATGTAGATTCCTGGATTTCTTTGAGAAAGTGGAGATTTGTCAATGCTGTGCCCACAATCTTCCCTGGTAATGACAGGGTCATGATAAGCTAATGCCGAAAAGAAGCTACCTCAAAGTGGGATTTTTTTTTCCTTATATCTAGTCCTCTGAATTTGTGACTTCCTGTCTAGAATATATATGATTAATATAGCCACTATAACATTGCTGAAAGCATGTGTTTTGAATCTAGTGGTTTCTAAGCCATGGAAAGGTCAGGAGCCACTTAACTTCCTAGTGATGTAAATATCTAGAAAAGTTTACTAGTTACAAATACCTAAACACACTCTCATACCTATATATGCCACTTGCTATGATGGTGAGTTTGTGATTCTACAATTAGAAAGGTCTGCATTGTACAATTGGTGTTGACTGTTGAGGTTTCTTTTGCAAACTTAATATTATTTTTGAAGAATGATGCTTAATATTATTTTGAAGAATGTGTTGACATTGAAATAACTGGTTCCAGTCAAAGTTAATGGATCAGATCTGACTAGGTAAGTAAGATAGGCACTTTGGGAGGATCATTTATAGCTTCCCCAGTCTTATTTAATGAGCTGGAAAAGTAATTTACTGGGTTTTAATGTAGAGCCTGGAAAAGATGTACTCCAAATCTCGCAAACACTTTATGCCTTGAGACCATAGCTTAGTCACCTTGTGGGGTCTGGAACATTGCCTCCCTTAACAATTCATTTGGGTCTCTTGAAGATGCTGTTGTTCT